TTTTTGACTGATTTTGAATAGAAATTACATAAATAATAAATACCTAAAATATAAAGAAATCGTAACTTAAAGTTTTCTTTGGTGCTAAAAATGCGACTTTTGGTTTCGTATGATTCTATACAAAATTTTTCACATAATTTTAACATTGTGACAAAATCTTACAAAATTCTCCCACTTTACACGGCAAACATTATTCAGATTACCTATTTGAATATAAATGCATGAAAAATACTGCTGATTTCTGAAAATAGTTTGTGTATTTATTCTTAATATCGTTTATGACAAGTTCTATCAGATGAAAGATTGATTGTTTGTTGTTTAACGCCCCTCTCGAGACTTTTTCACTCATATGGAGACGCTACCACTTGCCGGTGGAATGCTGCAAATTTTGTCCATGTTCGGCACTTACGGCCATTGAGCAGTGAGGAGTCTTTTTCGTGCCAGCACCTACTGCGACACAGGACCTCGGTTTATACGGTCTCATCCGAAGGACCGGTCTCCACGTCCCACAGTGGGATTCGAACCCGCGACATAAGGATCAACTCGTTACTTCGCGACTCTAGAGCAGACGCTCTAACCACTGTGCCATGCGGGCGACATCAGATGAAAGATGCGACAAAGAAATAGAGTACATTATAAAGCAAAACTAAATAATAATAAATACCAGTGGTGTAAATACCGTCATTTAAGAAATAAAGTAATAAGTATGGTACGTAAATCAAAAACAAGCCTGCAAAGAAAAAAAAATTACCTCACAAATAACAGATAGAACAATTCCACCTGGGAAATGGTGGCGAATTGTAAAGTTCATTACTAAATTTTCTTGAAAATATACTAAACCTCAAACAACAAAAGCCTATGGTAGAATTTTATACACCCTATTGATAAAGCTTGTATACTTATTAAACACTTTGCAGAAATATCACATATTGATGTTAGCTCAGAACTCCAACTACTCCCACAAGGGCCAGGTCCATCATATTCAATAAACACAATTCACATCACACCCCAAGATAAGGAGGATCAAATGAAAAACATCAACCCATCTAAACTCCTTGGATCTGATATTTCATCACATACTAAAAGTATAATTCCTTTGATTAAGCAAAATTGTTTAATGTATCATTAACCAATAAACAGCTTCCTCAAATATGGAAACTCTCAAATATTACACGTCTATAAAAATAAAGGGAGTCCTGAAGAGCCAGGAAACTATAGACCAATTGCTTTAACAAGTATTCTTTGCAAGATTATGGAAAAAAAGTAATATTAAAATATCATCACAATTATATGCTAGATCATAATCTTCTATCCAAAAATCAGTCTGGATTCCAACCTGGGGATTCCACTGTAAATCAACTTCTAGAGATATACAATACTATTATAATCGGTTTAGACCAAGGCAAAGATGCGAGTCCCGTTTTCTGTGATGTATCAAAGCATTCGACAAGGCCTGGCATAAGGGATTATTATTCGAACTGAAGCAAAATGGAAATATATTGCACTGGATTAAACATTATCTTATTCATCGTGAACAAGTTTTATTAGAAGGATACTCCTTAGTAAGAGAAAGCATAAATGCAGGTGTTCCACAAGGTTCCGTATTAGGTCCTTTTCTCTTCTTGGTATATATCAATGAAATAACTGTTGATTTAGACAATCAAATTAGATTATTTGCAGATGATACTTCGTTGTTTGTTATTGTAGACTATGATACACTAGCCCCTACCCTCTCTTTAACAGATGACTTGGAAAAAAATAAGCAATGGTCGAGACAATGGATGGTGAATTTTAACCCTAATAAAACTGTAAATGTTAACTTTACTCGGTTAAAAAATCACATCCACAAATCTCATTTGGTTATACTACAAAGAACTACATAGCACTGATGCAAGGCCATTGTCACCTTGGACTTATATTGCAATCAAATGGCGGTTGGTCTAAACATATTTCCAAAATATATGACAAAGCATGCCAACGTTTAAATGTTCTTCGCACATTCAAATAAAACTTAAACAGGGATTCCCTTTTTAGTATTTTTATTGCTTTTATTAGACCTATTTTAGAATATGGCAATGTAGTGTGGAATAATTGTACATAGGAATAACAAATTGTTTACACGCCCTCACCGATAAAATTAGTACATGGAAATTCGACTTGTGAATGTACAGAAGCTGAATTGCTAGAGGAGAAACTTGTATTTTTAGTTACCCGGATGAAAACGGAAGTGAATTTATACTGCACACAGATGCCATTAATGATGCTATTGGAGCAGTCCTGTCACAAATACAAGATGGTAGAGAAGTTATTTGCTATGGAAGCCGTGTCCTGTCTAGCTCAGAGAAGAAAAAAAAACTATTTTAAGAGGAAAGAAATGCTTGCAGTAGTATATTTCATCAAACAATTCAAACATTTACTAGGACGATAATTCATGTTACGGAACGATCACGGGTCACGCAGCTAGGTTAAGGACGCCCATGAAATATACGCCTTAACATATTCAGGGAAAATGAATACAATTTTAATAAATTTTTTCAACAGCATTAGTTTTGATAAATGTGAATTGTGGTGTTTGCATTTGTATAAATCGGGTCTCTGCTGAGATCAGCCAAAGCGACATCGCTTAGATCAGCTGTTTGTCACGTGACAGGTTTTAAATTAGAACATTTTTATACTACAAGAAAAGATTGTAAAAGTTCAACGATATACGGGCATTTTTCAGCTATAAAATTTATTACGTTTTCTTTGAGACAAATTCCTTAACACGAAAAGTGCTGGGAGCAACTTCCTCATGCTCGGAAATTGTTTCAAATTTAGCCGTCTTTCTATAAACTCCAGACAAAAATGTAATACGCATTGGAATAATGCTACATTACGGAATAAATAAACAATGCACAACCAGCTCCCAGCACTTTTCAGAATAGTAGGAATAATAGCTACATGTGTAGAAAAATTCATAATTCAGAGTGAAACGGAAATCGTTGAAATTTTGATATTTTCGAGGGGCTGGACCCCTCATTCTGGCACGTTACTGTACAAATGTGCACCCTAGGGCTCTATATTAACTCTACACATTATCAGTTTAGTATGACAATAAAATGTGGATCAATATATTTCAGAATACTAGATGAAATCCCGCGCAAGCGCGGGGAATTGAATTTATACCACTACCGACAGAAAAAAATCTAATAATATATATATTGTAGTTTCTACTGACAGCCTACAGGCTTATAGCAGGAAGAAATACTTTGTTCAAAATCCCGCATGAAGTAGAAGTATGTCTCCAACCCCCCGTAAAACTTAAATAACAAAGTCATTAATTGACGTTTATTGTGAAACCTGTTATATACAATGTACTATGTTATGGATATTGTACTTCAAATGCTCTTATTTCATTTCCGTCACGAATAAAAGCAGTGAATATGCACATTTTACTGAGAAATAGATTTTTTTTGGTAAAAATTCACAGGTACTTGGGTTTTGGTTTATAAATATGCATGTACCTTATTGATATGTAAAAACTGTACCTTACCTCTTTTTTTTTTTACATATCAATAAGGTACATGTATACATATTTATAATCCAAGACCTAAAAGTACCTGTTTAAAAATTAGCTTTTATTTAACGCCCTATGAATACACTGGCGGATTTAGAGGGAGGCCCAACCCCCCTCCCGTTTTGTGTCCAAAATATACATAAAATTTAATAAATCATTTTTTTTTGGTGTGTCCGTGGGTCCCTACCCCAACCCCAAACTGGTTGCCCTCCCCCCTTTTTCAAGAGTCCTGGATCCGCCACTGGAATAGGCCGAGTATTTGATACAAAAGACTGTATTCAGAAAAAAAAAACTGAAATGTATAAATTAAAGCACAAAATTATACAACATAACTGTACTTGAATAATGCCTTATTCATTGATATTCTCTTCATGTAAGCAAGTTTATTACGAAGTACAAATTGTACTTCGGGTTCGTTGCCACGATGCTTTCAGTGAGGAATATATACAAATTTTACCGATAAATTTATTAGGAAAACCTACTACATATATGTAATAGTCTTTCGATATATGAATATATTCACAACTTACAGTGTTATCAATGATTTACCATTATTTCAATGACCATTCACACGTACAAAAGCTATTTTTTTTTTAACATCGGGCTCGATGCTATGTGATGTTCTAGAAGCTTCCGTCAATATTACGATCGGTGAATGACGAAAATAACTTGCACATTTCCCTTTTTAATCGGTTATCACAACTTATTTCTTTTATATCATTTAAATCAAGTTTTGATTGAATAATTCAGTAATGACGTTCAAGGAAATAAATAAACGATTGTTTGTTGTCAGTTTCATTAAAAATTGACAGTAACTTTGATCCGCCAACCGGAAACGCCACCGTACTCACGTTTTTGCTATTTCATGGCTGTTTATAGAAAATAAAAGTAGACTTTTAATTTAATGTACGATACTTACAATGCAAGTGAAATCTAAATATAGTTTACGGACATCATCTTGTATCGTGTGTATTCTTAGAGGAGTAAGTAAGAACTCTGGTGCACCCGTTTCGGAGTTTATTTGCAAAATTTATTAATTTATAAGTATAGATGTCTCTCTTTTGGTCCGACTAAGCGTGTTTCGTGTTTATTTTTGTTTTTACAAGCTACGATAAAAGCTTGATCCACGCCTCAAGCAGAGAAACTGCGTGTCAAACTACGAAATGACGTCATCTCAGTAAGTACAGCGAGATCAAGCTGGCTTTCATTCTACATACGCTAAGTGCTATTATGGCAAGACAAATTGCACATCCATTTATCTTTATAATATTTATGAGAAACAAAATTATTTAGTGTGTATTAAAAAGAACATATAGTATTTATTCACCGAGATTCATTTGTGTTGTTTTAACGTCACGTCATAATAGCTTTCCCGAACCTCTGCATAGGCTGACGTATATATGGGAGTCCTTAACCTAGCTGCGGACTAGTGTGGCTGCATAAGATGAAAGAACCAAAGGGTCAGATGGTAAGTTGGATTAAACAACTAGGATCATATATGTTCAGAATTGAACACTCTACCTGGAGAGCAGCATGGAAATGTGGATGCTATGTGATTCGACATGTAAACGTGGATCTACAAATAGTGATAGTGACAAATTCTCTCACGTTAGTGAATTACGGGGAACATTTAATAAAGTTAAAGAAGTTGAGGATGACGTTTTTGTTCTTAACAGACATTAAGAGTTAATGTCAGTGACTGTGCACCAATACTAGAAGATAAAAGGCATAGAGCTAACAGACCTACCAAACAAAAGCTGGGAAACAGCCAACAGAACCATTGGGTATTCAAAACATTCAAAAACATCAACTCGAAGACAGCGGAATGTGCATTATTATCCAATGCCAGGAAAAAAGCAACAAACCCTCATTATTAGTGATATTGCGTGAAAATTCTGAGTGTAAATTTTGGTTTTCCAGATGGAATTTGTTATATATGTAATTATGTATGTTATTATGTATAAATAACTCCAGGAAATGAGGATTACAAAATATGTGTTCCGCGGAAATTAAAAAAAGTAATTCTATGGCAGTTGCATGATTTCAATAGTGCGGCGCATATGGGAGAAAAGGAGTTAATGACGCAGAGTATGTGCGTAACTTAGAAGACAAACTGATAGAAATTCATCAATTGGCTAGAAAAACGATGAAATGTAACTCCGAGAGACAGAAACAAAATTTTGACAGAAATATATGAGAAGTAAAATGGACTGGACCATGGATTATCACAAAAGACTACCGGGGTATCAGATGTATTATACCCGATTAAACACTCGGAAAATTCAAAACCCGTTGATATTCACTCAGATAACCTTAAACGATACCATGACAGTAAAACTGTATCATGTGTTAATTATGATGCTGATCCAGAAGACCCTGACGTTTTTAGTTTCCCGCTTTCCAACCAGACCGACCCAACTGTCTCGACAACCTATACTGAAACGACGGAACTTCAAAAGGCTAGAAGGAACATGGAACAGGAGTCGCAGCTTACTACCACCTTGACACGCAAGGGCCGTGCAGATAAATTACCAAAGTGCTACTTATTGTAACCATTGTAGAAAAAAAAAATTAAGATTAATTCTATGCACATGTTGCGGAAGAAAATTATAAGAAAGGATAATTTACAACGACACCTCAGAGAAAAACATTTGGACCAACTTATTGTAAACTGTTCTAATTGCCAGAGACCATTTTCAAGAACTTTCAGCCTTAAAAGTCATTTACAAAATTGTCACAAACTTTCCGACAAAAATGCGGGAATCGACGTGAAACTAAGTAAGAAAAAGATGTCGCAAGAAGAACTCAATAAGGTTAAGAAATCTGTATTTTTCAGCTCTATGTAAGAAGGTATTACTCCAGTTATTAGTTCACCACCACATCCGTAAACAGAATACGAACCAATTAGTGAAGATGAAGATTGGCCTTCAACTGGGTCCGTTTTGGAAAACGAACTTCTTAACTCAACAAATAAGGCGAACGCGAATGCGTTCGTGTAAGAGATCTTGTTTTACTGTGCTGAAGAGGCACAGTCAGGCCTTAGTGAATTCAGTACATGTATCTCTGATAACAATGGTTATTTAGGGGAATCGGTCGAAACTGAGACGCAAAGCGAAAATACTAGATCACGGTGTAATTATTTATAAAAACAATTTTAGTGACATGCTTTAGCTGACTTTGAAATATTCTTTTAAACAACTGTTATTACTTTAAACAAGAAAGACTTTAATAATGCTAATGACCATGTAACTCAAAATGTGTCGATTACATCAATATACTCAACATGTCGTGAGTTTTCTATTTAAGCCATCTGTAACTCATGACCGGTACTGTGCGAATTGTCATTGTTATATTTTATTCGAAACATGTTACATACAACATTGTTCATCAGTCAGGTGCAATTTTTGGATTTACAGAATTCGCCCTACCGACTTAAGTTTATAATAATAAAGTGCTATTCCATCGTTAGCATTTTTGTCTCATTGTCGCCGGAAAGTTTTGGAGTTATTTACCCCGCTCATAATACGTCAAAGACAGTTACCGTATCCGAAACTATCATTCTCAAAATAACTAAGAAAACCATTTCTCACATTGACGGCACCTCGGAGATTGTTCGGGATACCTTCCCACTCAGAAACTGTAAACTCAGACGAATTAGATGTGATAAAGTTTTCGACTGACGTATTAACTGAAATTCCGGAACATTTTCGTAATCGGAGGATCAGGATTGTTGAATTAAATGATTGAAAAAAAAATATTGTGAACTTATGCTGCCGGTGAATGTGTTAAAATAATGTTTTATTGTCATTTATGTCTGGATTTATATAATTTCATTGTATGCTTTGTCTTCACAGTTGTTAAAAATGTTTACTCAGATTTATTTTTGTTTGTTTATTGTACATGTATTTGAATTCCTCTAATTACTTGATTATTTATATTTAAGGTTAAAGTATTGCTGATTTTATGTGTCATTTTCTGTTTCATTTTGAACAGCGTCAAAAATTAAGTGGGGGAGAGTTGTTACAATAGCCAATTTATAATAGTTGATTGTCAGATTACAGATTGTTAAAGCTACTTGTCAATAATTTTCCATTTAGCTGTTTAATCTTATCTATTTGTAAGCGAGATCATTTTATTGCCCTTTAATTATAGTGATACTTGCCTGTATTTCATTGTTTCATGTTATGTATTGTCTCCCCACTTAGAGGAGGAAGAGTATCCACTTCCCACATTTTGGAGGCTCTGTGTACTACATAAGTAATCAAATTTGATCATTTGCGGAGTTGAAGTTGCTCATTAGTTGATGTCATGCTAGTTTAGTTTTTCATACGAATGCTAGTTTAAATATCGCACAGAATGGGTTTAGAGAGGATAGCGGGATTTTAGGGTATTATATATTCTGTGATAAAACTCATTTTCTTTTCCCATAATCATTTTATTTTTTCATTAAGTAAGTCCTCCCCTTTATTATTAAGTAAAAGAATATCAAATTAAGTTAAACACTTAGTCCATAGATAGTACATTTTTTCAAAGTTAATTGTTAAATAACCACATGTATTTAGGCACATTTTGTTTATACTAGTCATCCATATATCCTTTAATTCCATAACTTTGTATCTGAAAGGTTAGCTGACAGGTTTAAAGTCTGTAATCTTGTCCAGTAACGTGTTTTAACAGTTCACGGTTGGGTGACCGTTTCTTTTGTGTATTCACGCTATATAAAGCCGTGGTTCGGGTATATCGGCGGACTGCTCTCATAGCGGCCACTGCTCTGCAGCCAGGGTTCTCCATCATCTGCAATTTAACTGTGGAGGACTGATTGATTGTATGTTGTTTTACGTCCCATTCGAGAATATTTCACTCATATAGAGACGTCACCATATACCGGTGAAGGGCTTCAAATTTTGACCTTTACTCGGCACTCAGGACCACTGAGCAGTGAGGGATCTTTATCGTGCCAACGCCTGCCGTGACATGGGGCCTCGGTTTTTAAGGTCTCATCCGAAGGATCCGAAACTTTCACTTCAAAGTGGCGAGCGCATGGCGAAGAAACAGTTGCTACTCATTTTTTATCGGCTTAGGTCAGTCGCGGCCGAGATTCGGACTCACGACCTCACGGAAATTGGAGGAAAGCGCGTAAATAAGTTTTTTTTTTTTTAAATTCGCGACATTCTATCGTGATCAAATCTAGAGTAAACATAACAAGAGTGTTAAACACTAAACACAATATTTAATAATGTAAAAACATTTTAAACATTGATAAGTCTGCATTTCATGTCTTTCCACATTTTTACAGTTTTTTTTATTTCAAATGGAAATTCCTCAGGTTCAGGCCCCTGTGTAGATAGAAGCATCAGACTGTTGCGCACTTTATTGCTTAGCCTATTCCTCAATGGATCCTTCTCCTCTTCATGGCACTAAACCCTCTCTCACAATATGGAAAACACAATTTACAATGTCAAAATGAACTCATACTCATCATTATCTTTTTTATTAAATGTATATAATTGCAAATAGTGATTTATACAAAGGCATACCAGCTGTTCAACCATGCACAACTGTGTAAGTTTGGAAAGGTCTGGATACAGTTGGCTGCACTGCTGGACCAACTGTTTGAGACTATCACACGAGTTCCATAATATCTCTTTTTGGTACATGATCTGTCTGTAGGAGAATTCCATTAAAACTTTTTCCTGGTAGTGATCACTTCGCCAGACTATTAAGAGGGCATTTGGACATATGAAAGGAAGGTACAGAAGGATCCAGGAAATTCCTCTTCACAACATCGAAGAAATCCGCAATGTAATGTATGCTGTCTGCATTTTACACAACCTATGCATAGATAATGCAGATAATATCGATGATTATATCCATCAAAATCCAGATGAAGACCCAAATCAAAATATGAACATCTATCAGAATGGACAGGAAGGCATATTCAGACGCACACAGCTTGTGAACATGCCATAGTTTAATTTAATTTCATTTACACAGTAACTATAAACGTTCATATATGTGACATTTGATATGGTCAGTTTATTATTTTTCATATTCATGAGTAACCTGTATTAAAGTAAATTCTCTATCTCTTATCTTGTACGTTTTCCAACAGTGAAGTACTTAAACTGGAAAAAAGGCTCGGGAAATGGTTTTAAATGTTTTTTCAACACCATTCAACAATGAAGTGTGCTGAATTGTGCATAAAAGATAGTGTTAATCTTTTTGAACTGTGTACATAGGAATAAGTAAACTTTCTTTCCAGGTGTTTTTTTTCTTCTTTGGGGATTATTATTTGACCAATAACCATGATCATAAACCAGGAAATAAATGAATACATTTAACACAAGTTCAAAATCTTCAAGATAATCAATTTCAATACAAATACTGGTTTGAAATTTAGTTTCTTCAGTGTCAAATACACGTCTGCATTTGGATTTGCATGGGAGCATGTAGCAGCATAATCTCATACAACCTCTTTCATGTTCAAATTCATAAAGTTGTTTTTATTTTTAGATCAACTACGATTGTCCTTTCCTACGTAGTGAAAAAGCTGCAGATATAATCACCATTATTTTGTATTTTGGCACTACAGTCAAACCTCCTTATCTCGAACTCAATGGGATCGGAAAAAAAATCCAGATATCCGATGATTCAATATATCAAGGGTAAAATACTTAAAGATTAAGGGTTTGGGACTTCCAAATCACTTCGATATATCCATGGTTTTCGAGATATTAGTGTTCGAGATAACGAAGTTCAACTGTATATAAAAGAACTCGCATAT